ATAATTGCAGTTTATTTATTATACGGCATTTCGACGGATATTCGTCACCTCGTGTGAACCATCCTGAGCTCTGCTTACCAAAAATACGCGTGCAATCGCGCGATAGTATTAGGATTTGCATACATGAACACTTTGGCGATGCTTTTGTTTTTGTTTTGTTTTACATTTACATCCAGCGTAGGCCCACTGAATTGTTTAAATGCTTAAATAATTGAAAACATAAATTATGTGGATTACATTCTCATATAATTTACAATGAAACTTTATAATGTACGGTATTTTATAAGATTATTTTTTTAAACAGAATAAAATAGGTAACATTATATTGAAGAAAAAAAACCCAGATTTTACATCTATAGACGTAAGTTGATTTAATATGCTGAATCATTATTAATGGTATAGGCCTACCCTGCAAAAACCAGGGTGTTAAATTTAATTCTTTATTGGTGTGTATATGGTGCAACACCAAATGGTGTTAAGTAAACTTTAACACCATAACCAGTGTTACTAGCCAATAAATCAAACATTGGTGTTTGATTTATTTTAACACCAGAGTGGGTATTTACTGAACACCATAAATGGTGTTCAATTTAACACCAAATGGGTTTAATTTAACTCTTTCTTGGTATCTATATAGTGCAACACCAGTTGGTGTTAAAAATTTTTAACTCCATCACTGGTGTTAGCAGGCAATTCTAAACTGGTGTTAAATTAACACCAATGTTTAGATTTTACTTTTACACCAAAATTGGTGTTCTCTGAACACCATAACTGGTGTCCAATTTAACACCAAAAGTGTTCAATTTAACTCTTTCTTGGTATCTATATAGTGCAACACCAGTTGGTGTTAAAAATTTGTAACTCCATCACTGGTGTTAACAGCCAATGCCAAACTGGTGTTAAATTAACACCAATACATGAACTTCCAAAAACGTCAAGCTTGTGTTAAATATATTCCTCCGATTAACTGCCTCTGGATTCAGAAACAAACAATAAAATGAACCACAAATATATAAATGTTTTCAGTAATTAATTCTTTAATATAAACACAATAAATGTCACATCACATGAATTATGAATTCATGAATTAGACTATTATAGAAGTGATACAATGATATTTGCAATAAACTGTGCTAAATACAGATATCAACATTTTTATGACAACTGTTATGAAAGAATATAATAATGTATACTTCAACAAATTTTAATGCAAATTTGTTAATATACAGTATATATTATCAACATCATTCCTAAAATTTGTTATGTATTTTTTGTATCGTATAGTATTATACAATATAAAAAACAAATAAGGTCTTTTTCATTAGCATTTATAAAAAGAACCATTTTCTTTATAATTGCATGGCTGCTATACATGTACTGATGATTAAAAACTACAAGAAAATCCTTAATACTTTCAAAGTGTTTTTTTTTTAAAGATTAGACTATTATAGAAGTGATACAATGATATCTGCAATAAATTGTGCTAAACATAGATAAACATTTTTATGACATTAATGTTATGAATGATTATAATAATCTATACTTCTACAAATTTTAATGCAAATGTCTTAAAGTATATATTATCAACATCCTTCATAAAATTTGTTTTGTATTTTTGTACTGTCTAGTATTACTGTTATACAATATAAAAAACAAATAAGGTCTTTGTCATTAGCATTTTTAAAAAGAACTCTTTTTTATAATAATTGCATGGCTGCTCTCCATGTACTGATCATTAAAAACTACAAGAAACTGGTTAATATTTTCCAAGGTTTTTTTTTTTTAAAGATTAGACTATTATAGAAGTGATACAATGATATTTACAATAAATTGTGCTAAATATAGATATCAAAATGCTTATGACAAATGTTATGAGTGATTAAAATAATCTATACTTCAAAAACATTTTAATGCAAATTTGTTAAAGTATAATTATATTATCAACATCTTTCATAAAATTTGTATTTTTTTGTACTGTATAGTATTATACAATATAAAAAACAAATAAGCTCTTTTTCATTGGCATTTTTAAAAAGAACCCTTTTTTATGATAATTACTTGGCTGCTATCCATGCACTGATGATAAAAAAAACTACAAGAAACATCTTAATACTTTCCAAGATTTTCATCAAAAACAATAAACTTCACAACAAGTATAACACCATGAACACTTGCTAACTGTTTCAGTAAATAAATACTGTATTAAAACGAAAAGCAATTTATGATTATCATGATCATCATCATATACTATTAAATGAAAAAGAATTATACTTAATTATTATTTATCTGAGGTAGTTTTAATTTTACTACAGACTGATGAATTTTTTGGTTTGTAAAAAAAATCAAATTATTGTACATGTTCAGAAGATAATTTTACTCAGTTGGCGTCAGTGAAACCTGTCACACCAGAAATCGTAATTGAGAAACCAAAACTGAATTCAACTGTTATACATGAATTGAACATTTAGCAAACATTGTACCTGCCTTGTATTAAGGTTAGAGTACAACACAAGTTGTTTGTATACTATTTTTTTTACAGAGCTATTAAAAAAAATAAATTTATATTAAAACTCCCTCAGTTAAATTACTTTAATACTATAACTCTGTTACAGTATATACTGTAAAAACAAGAACATATTTAAGATCATCAGTGAAAAACTATTCAATAAAAGAGAACAAGGTGTATTATTAATACAAATCCAATTTTCTTTTCATTGTATATTTTTTTTTTTATCTATTTGGCATTTAGAAATTCCAGAGATAATCATGTAGGGTCATTCCAATGAAAATATACCCAGTACTAGTATTTGACAGATTTTTTTTTCTACAAGTGTTTCATAATCAAAGTTTACTTGGTACATATGTCTCAGTATCAACCCACCTACTTCAACAGCACATTGTGGAGCAATTACTTCCAATTATGCCACAGTAAAACCAGAAAAATTAAACACTTTTTCTTTTTATTTGCATTGGGGCAATTTATTGGACATTTGGGAAGGCCAATCTCTAATATAAGAAAAAAAACCTTGTTTACTGTTCTGCATATAGAAGACACAATAAACATTGGAAATTGCATAAAATAAAATGAGTCCACAGCCTTTAATCATGTGGGTTAGTATTTCAGAGATACATGTTTTTCAAAGTGATTCATAATCATTATTTAAACGACAGGTCATGGAACAATGTACCAAAATTGTGCAGCTTGAGTTACACTAAAATAAGAAAAATTCAAACAGTATTTGTATGCTTCTACTTTGATTTTTATAATCATTTGGTTTTTTCTTTTTGACATTTTAAAAGGCAAGTTTAAAAACAAAAATGTTATTTATTTTAAAAACAATCTGATAATAACATCTGCATGTAGAAAAATTAACAAACATTGGAAATTGTGTATAACAAATTGACTTTAATCAAGTAGGTTAGTTCCATTTAAAGACATACTAGTTAGTATTATTTGGCAGTCAGATAATTTTCTCCCAAATAATTCATAATCATTTAAAATTTGACAGATTTTTTTTTCTAAATGATTCGTAACGTCAATGTTAATGTGGTATATATTTCTCAGTGTCAACACACCACATGGAGCAATGTAGTGCACCTTGAGTGACTACTATTGTATCAATACACCTAGGGTAAAACAAGTAAAACTTTTTTTTTTTGCACTGTAGCAATTTTTATCTATAGGACATTCAGAGTGACCAATCTATTTTTTTAAATTTATTTATTTATTTTTTTCTATTTTTTTCTATTTTTTTTTTTTAATACGAAAAAAGCTGTTACTGTTCAATGTTAATTTGGTATATTTTTATCAGCTTTGACACACATATTAGAACAGCAGAAGCCATGGAGCAAGTACTGCTCATGTACAGCTTGAGTTTTAATTACTGTTTTACTTATTTACTGTTAATACTAACACTTCCCAGTCTCTCTTTTTCTTTCTTTTTCTTTTTTTTTTTTAAATAAGAAAAAAATAACTCTGTCAACACACCTATTTGAACACACATGCCATGGTGCAAGTGCACATGTGCAGCTGAGTTACAGTACTTTTAACTACTAAAACCTGAACAATTTAAACAGCATTTGTATGCTTACACTTTAATTTTGAATTTGAGAGAATTTTTTGTCCAAATGATTCACAACATCAATGTTAATGTGGTATATATTTCTCAGTGTCAACACACCACAAAACACATCATGGAGCAATGTAGTGCACCTTGAGTGACCACTATTGTATCAATACACCTACAGTAAAACAAGTAAAACTTTTTTTTCGCACTGTAGCAATTTTTATCTATAGGACATTCCGAGTGACCAATCTCTATTTTTTTTATTTATTTATTTATTTTTTTTTTTCTATTTTTTCCTTTTTTTTTTCTTTTTCCTTATTTATTTATTTTTTTTTTCTATTTTTTTTTTTTTAAATAAGAAAAAACTGTTTACTGTTCAGTGTTAATTTGGTATATTTTTATCAGCTTTAACACACGTATTAGAACAGCAGAAGCCATGGAGCAAGTACTGCACATGTACAGCTTGAGTTTTAAATACTGTTTTTCTTATTGTTAACACTAACACCTCCCAATCTCATTTTTTTTTTTTTTTTTTTTTTTTTTTTTAAATAAGAAAAAACATAACTGTGTCAACACACCTACACACCTATTTGAACACACATGCCATGATGCAAGTAGTGCACATGTGCAGCTGAGTTACAGTACTTTTAACTACTAAAACCTGAATAATTTAAACAGCATTTGTATGCTTTCACTTAAATTTTTATATGTATTTGGTTTTATGTATTGAACATTGTGAAAGGCCAATTTCTGAAAAAATGTTATTTATTTTAAATCCCCTATTTACTGTATTAGTAATATCTGTATTTCACAGACTTAATCATGTAGGCTAGTTCAATTTAAAAAGCACACTAGTTAGTAAATGACATAAGTTTTTTAAAAACGATTCATAGTCAGTGTTAATTTGATTATTTTCTCAGTGTCAACTCAACCCTATTTGAACAACACATGTCTTGGAGCAACGTACTGCACATGTGCACTTTTTAATAAACTTGACACGACATCTAACGGATAATGGTCCACCAGTTCACCTTGAGATTTAACAACATAGCATAATGGATGTTTTGTTTTGATTGAAAAAGCATGGTAATGGCTGTTGTAATTTAATGTTTCCCAAACTTGCAATACAAAATAGACATTTTCTTGATATATTAGGATGTGCTGAATTTGACCAAACATCGGTAACTCTTTCACATCATAACAAAGTAGTAGCAATGGCTGATAAATAGTTCCACACAAATTGACCCAATTGGCACTGAAGATCTCTGTGAAACGAGTAACACCTGGAATCGTCTCAACAACTGTCTCAACACAAATTTCTTCTAAATAAGAACAAAGGATGGACAATCCAGGACCAACTTCTAAATTTTCCAATGGTTGATCAGATTTTAATTGGTATATCTGGGTCATTTGGTGTTGTTTTGCAACTGTTTTACAAATGTTCTTGAAATTCCGAGCAGTGTCTGCCACCCTACAAAAATATTCATGCTTTGCCTCATATCGCATACACCAAACATGCAAAAGAGGACCAATGTTTTCCAGACACGTTGGATAATGTACCATGAAGTGGTGTTTCGGCAACAGTTTCTTATCAGGAAAGGTTGAACGAAAATGATTATGATGATCCTCAATTAAGATACGAAGTTGAGCTATAAGACCTGGTGTTATTCTTGGAGAAAAGATAATATCCATACAATCAAGTAATTTGAGTAATAGTTCCCAATATGGGTCATCATCTTTAATATCATGTCCAATTATAAATGGAAGGTGCCTGATGAAACACCAAGCTTGCATGGCTTTCTGACCAATGTCATTACTAGTGGAGTTAAGTTTAATATATGATGGTTTATTTTTCCTGTCTGTAAATCCAAAACTATGACTAGCTACACGTCGGTTCAAGTTTTCCAAAGTGAACAATGAGGGGTGTATTTCACAGCTAAAATATCTAAGAACTAACTTAATCTCATACTGCACAACTCCTTCTAGAATATCATGCATAAGATCTAAAGAAAAATTTGATAGTACATGGAAATATACACAATCATTCAACAATGAAGACTTCTTAATTCCCAATACATGTACACACCCTTCTTGTCCTTCAACCTCTTGGACATTCTGATCATAAGATTCTTTGTTTCTCATTACAATTCCATGGTCTTCTCTAAAGTATTGTTGAGCATCATCTTTGCTAACCAAACAGAGACGGCAGTAGTGACTTCCAGAAAAACTTTCAACAAACCCGAATAATGAATTAGCACCAAGATTATCTGCACTAAATTGAGTTATGGTTCCCTTTTTTCTGGTACCATCTGCCAACTTGACTCTGTGTGTTGATAGAATATTGATATCTTACACAAAGTGCTGTAATATGCTGTTAAAACCATACTTTTTCAGATCCTCTGTGTGACACAGAGCAATCAAATGAATGTTTTTTAATGAGGAATTAAATTTTGGTGGCAGGTTTTTTAAAATAAAATAAAATGCACCAATCTTATGAATTGCTGTTTTTGAACCTAGAGGATTAACTGTTTCAAAGTCGTCGTAAAAACAATGAAGCTGCAATGCATTGTAGTCCTCTTGAAAAAGAAAGCTTTCTTTAAATAACTTCCCATCGCAAAAAATCTTGCAGAACACCATCATCACTAATATGGTTGTGGGTAGCATAATGCAATATATCAGAATTACTCAAAAGAAGCTGTAATGTATCAAGAATTGGAATATATATAAATGTGTCATCAACTGCAACCTGCTCATATTGTTTTGTTATTTTTGAGAGACGATTCTCATATCGAACACCTAATCTAAATTCACGGGGTTCAACCATACCTTGATTACACCAATACTTCCTCCTCTTGTATTCAGAATTAAGATTTTCAAATGGGTTTTCAAGAATGGACAAATGAGATTGAATTTCTTCATTAATTGCAGAATGTTCTGCAATACCATGCTTTTTCAATGTCGACGCAACAGCTAAAGACGCACTGTGTATTATTTCATTAATCAACATATTTGAAGAATTCACTATGTCCCCAACACAATTTTCGGGGATGGCTGGCTTAGCCGAAATCTTTGCAGCAAAGGTTGCTGCTTGATTTTCAAGCTCATCTGCAGTTAGTAGGCATTTACTTTCATCTATTTCTTCCACAATATCACCACCCTCATAATCCATGGGTAAATTTTGCTGTAAATCTTCCTCAAAATATTGTTGTTCTGGAAGAACTTCATAGGAATTAACTTTATGGTACTTTGTTACATGTCGCTTAAACCCACTAAAACTAGAAAAGGTCCTCGAACACACTCCCTGGCCACATTTTATATAACTACCATTATACAAACTATGTCTTAATCTAAAGTGTCTTAACAAATTACCTACAGTACTAGACTGAGTGTCGCATTTAAAACAATTCATGCTGAAAATTGTAATTTTGATCTTAATTCTCTAACTCTTGGTGATTCTTTTGTGACACCGACATCAATACCATATATAGTTGTCTGCATAAAAGTCCAGAAATTTTGTAGTGGTTGTGCATACTCTAAACCAAACACATAGTGAAGTTTGAACAGGGCATCTAAGGCACCTTCAATGTCATGTGCTGCGCATTGTAGTGCAGTATGGTCAACTATCAAAAAATACTGAGTAATATAAGATTTGGACTGACCTATGGCAAGTAGGTATGGCTGCATCAACTTATGTTGTCCACATTCTAGAAATTCCTCTACACTGGTTCCAATCTGTTTATAAAATAAAATAGTATGGATTCAGAGAAAATTTTATTTAAATTTAATTAGATTTAAAATTTTTTAGCTCACTGGTTTTCATCATGAATAGGTAATTAATTACCAACTAGTGAAATATATTCTAGCACACTCATTCTAAACCACCTCCAGTCAAGCTGCCTACTCAAAAGATGAACATACATTTACTATTATCCTTAACAGTTTCAGTATCAATATCACCATTTCAATTGTGGTATGGAAGCTTAAATGTTAGACATCAAACATTAAACTTACCTTTTCGAATTGAATTATCTCATCAATTGCGGTTGTGATCGACATCTTTTGTGATTTTCCTCGACCCTGGTTGACAGGCGGTAACAGACACAAAAGCAAAAGTATTGCAGCAGTATCAGGATCCCAGTCTATATTCCAATGCAACATTAAAAAATTTGTCAGACAAGCAACTATTCCAAAATTATGACACAAATCAATTTAAATGTACCAATCAATACCTATTTTAGTTTCATCAGTCAATCGAAATAGTATAGTTGAATACCATGTCTTCAGTAGGGGAGTGGCCACAATCTTTAACAGCAGGTGGCCAAATTAATGAACTTGTCAATTGTAGTGCTGCCCCCCACCCCACTTTTAAGATGGCCTTCTTTAAATACTAATAATTAGCTAATGAACTACATTTACCCAAAATTGTATACAAAACAATGAGAAAACACCTGTTTAAACAGAAAAATCAATCTTAAAGATTAAAAAAAAATTGCATAGATTATTACCTCCATACAGGCCATCTCCCTCTGGATCTCTGTCCACAGCAGTCAATAACTGGCTAGTAATTATACTTCCATTAATCTCTCTGGCAAAGCTAACAACTTGATCCTTCACATTTGGCCACTTTTCAAGAAAATTTGTATGATGATCTGGAAAGAGAAGTCTGAAGTCTTGCTCAATCTGAAAGACAATTATTTCCAACCGTTTACTTTTCAAAATAAAAGTTTTATAGTAATGTAAAAAAATATAATCTTAATTGATATTAACTTTTTTTTAAAAATTTATATTATAGTGAAACAGAAGTCAGAACTCTTGCTCAATCTGAAAGACAATTATTTCCAACTGTTTACTTTTCAAAATAAAAGTTTTATAGTAATGTAAATAAATATAATCTTAATTGATATTAACTTATTTTTAACATTTATATATAGTGATTTATGTGTCCTTAGGCACTTTCAAAGAAAGGTAAATACAGTGTTCAATTAAAAGACATGGTGTACATCATTTAGCTTAACTCTCAACGAATGTTGTCCTATAAACACATTGTGTAATAAAATGCCTCTAACAGGATTCAAACTCTTACTATCAAGGCGAGCATTAGACCACAGGAGCCTCATGGTTAACAGATTTAACTAACTTGTTGGTACATTTTATTACACGGTGTTAAACCAGATAAATCTGGAAGTACAGCTTGAAATAAATAGTAACATATATAACATAATTTGTATAAAACAATCAAAAACTTACTAGCCCAGGTGTATTTAGGAAACGTGGAAAAGATCTTATGATACTTGTGGCTGAATCCTGTCTTCCAATCATCTCTTGTCGAAGTGGAAAAGTATTTTTCATCTTTTGCATAATCACCTCGTCGTCTGTTGATACTTTTGGGGTATGAATCATCCAGTTTTTATCAGCTTCCAGATCTGGTCCCACATCAACGCTTGCATTTCTCTGTTTCGTTGCTGTCTCTTATACACATCTAGATGTGTATAAGAGACAGCTCTTGTATTCAGAATTAAGATTTTCAAATGGGTTTTCAAGAATGGACAAATGAGATTGAATTTCTTCATTAATTGCAGAATGTTCTGCAATACCATGCTTTTTCAATGTCGACGCAACAGCTAAAGACGCACTGTGTATTATTTCATTAATCAACATATTTGAAGAATTCACTATGTCCCCAACACAATTTTCGGGGATGGCTGGCTTAGCCGAAATCTTTGCAGCAAAGGTTGCTGCTTGATTTTCAAGCTCATCTGCAGTTAGTAGGCATTTACTTTCATCTATTTCTTCCACAATATCACCACCCTCATAATCCATGGGTAAATTTTGCTGTAAATCTTCCTCAAAATATTGTTGTTCTGGAAGAACTTCATAGGAATTAACTTTATGGTACTTTGTTACATGTCGCTTAAACCCACTAAAACTAGAAAAGGTCCTCGAACACACTCCCTGGCAGTTTTTTCACAAATAAAAACACTATTTTTGTCAGAAAACTGGTCTTAGCAATAATAATTTTGCCACAAGTTTGTCTTTTGTTTCTATAAATGTTAAGTTGAAAAATTATTTTCTTACACTCTCTTCAGGATAATTTTGTATACTGTCAACACTTGACCCATTGTGATCCTGAAAAAAATAATTTTAATAAAATATATCTTGAATTTTCAATATAGTATAGAAAATCAATCAATAATAAGGGGTTTGTTTAGGGTTTTAAATTTGTTTTTGTGGTGCATTTTAAGGTAATTTTTTCACATATAAAAACACTATTTTTGTCAGAAAACTGGTCTTAGCAATAATAATTTTGCCACAAGTTTGTCTTTTAATTGTTTCTATAAATGTTAAGTTGAAGAATTATTTACTTACACTCTCTTTAGGATAATTTAATATACTGTCAACACTTGACCCATTGTGATCCTGAAAAAAATAATTTTAATAAAATATATTTTAAATTTTCAATTTAGTATAGAAAATTAATCAATAATAAGGGGTTTGTTTATGGTATTAAATTTGTTTTTGCGGTGCACTTTAAGGTATTTTTTCACAAATAAAAACACTATATTTACCCAAAAACTGCTCTTGGCAATAATAATTTGACCACGAGCTTGTTTTTTAATTGTTTCTATAAATATAGGCCTTTTTCACGCTGCGGTAGACATCTTCGATCGATGACAAACAATGCTGAGCAGCGAAGCCTAACCAACAGAAATAACATAGCGTTTCAGCCATATTTTCGGAGGTCATGTTACTCAAAAAATCATAACTCATACAGTACTTAGATATCTTCTTTGCGAACAATTTAAAGATAAAAATATGTCGATACCGCCCTCAGTTAAGGAGTTACGATTCTTAAAGTAACATGACCTCTGAAAATATGGCCGGCATGCTAATGATATTCGGTCAAACAGTGAAATAATGGTAATGTGTGCGCAACACTACACAAAATCCGTCTTCCATTTTCTAGTTTAGTTTAGACAGACTGAACAAATTTTCAATTTTTTTTAATTCATACAGTATGTAGATATATCCTTTGCGAACATTTAAAAGAAAAAAAATATGTTGATACGACCCTCCATTAGGGATTTATGAAATTTTATGTAACATGACCTCCGAAAATGTGGTCGAAACGCTATGTTATTTCTATTGGTTACACTTCGCTGCTCAGTATTGTTTGTCATCGATTGAAGATGTCTACCGCAGCATGAAAAAGGCCTATATTTATGGAAACAATTAAAATACAACTCGTGGCCAAATTATTATTGCTAAGAGCAGTTTTTGGGTAAAAATAGTGTTTTTATTTGTGAAAAAATACCTTAAAATGCACCGCCAAAACAAATCTAAAACCCTAAACAAATTTTTCAAAATGGTATATTTATTCAAATTCAAAATTTAAAATTCTGTCATCGATCGAAGATGTTTACTGCAGCATGAAAAGGCATATTAAGTTGAAGAATTATTTTACTTACAATCTCTTCAGGATAGTTTTTTATACTGTCAACACTCGACCCATTGTGATCCTGAAAAAAAAAAATAATAATTTTAATAAAATAATTTTTGAATTTTCAATTTAGTACAGAAAATCAATCAATAATATGGGGTTTGTTTAGGGTTTTAAATTTGTTTTGGTAGTACATTTTAAGGTATTTTTTCACAAACAAAAAAACTATTTTTACCCAAAAACTGCTCTTAGCAATAATAATATTATCAAGTGTTTGTCTGAATAGTTTCTATAAATATGAAGTTGAAGAATTATTTTCTTACACTCTCTTCAGGATGATTCTGTTTATTTTAATAAAATATAATTTGAATTTTCAATTTAGTATAGAAAATCAATCAATAATAAGGGGTTTGTTTAGGGTTTAAATTTGTTTTGGCGGTGCATTTTACAGTAGTTTTTTCACAAATAAAATCACTATTTCTACCCAAAAAATTGCTCATAGTAATGAAATCTGCGCTTAGTAATAATAATTTTACCACGAGTTTGTCTTTTAAGTGTTTCTATAAATATGAAGTTGAAGAATTATTTTCTTACACTCTTTTCAGGATGATTCTGTTTACTGTCAACACTTGACCCATTGTGATCCTACAAAAATCATTTAATAAAATATATTTTCAATTAAGTATAGAAAATCAATCAATAATAGGGGGTTTGTTTAGGGTTTTAAATTTGTTTTGGCAGTGCATTTTCCCTTATTTTTTCACCAAAAAAACCACTATTTCTACCCAAAAAACTGCGCTTAGTAATAATAATTTTACCACAAGTTTGTCTTTTAAGTGTTTCTATAAATATGAAGTTGAAGAATTATTTTACTTACACTCTACCCATTGTGATCCTACAAAAATCATTTAATAAAATATATTTTCAATTTTCAATTAAGTATAGAAAATCAATCAATAATAAGGGGTTTGTTTAGGGTTTTAAATTTGTTTTGGCAGTGCATTTTCCATTACTTTTTCACAAAAAAAAAAACACAATTTCTACCCAAAAAACTGCGCTTAGTAATAATAATTTTACCACGAGTTTGTCTTTTAAGTGTTTCTATAAATATGAAGTTGAAGAATTATTTTCTTACACTCTCTTCGGGATGATTCTGTTTACAGTCAACACTTGACCCATTGTGACCCTACAAAAATCATTTAATAAAATATATTTTCAATTTTCAATTAAGTATAGAAAATCAATCAATAATAGGGGGTTTGTTTAGGGTTTTAAATTTGTTTTGGCAGTGCATTTTCCAGTATTTTTTTACAAAAAAAACACTATTTCTACCCGAAAAACTGCTCTTAGCAATAATAATTTTACCATGAGTTTGTCTTTCAATTGTTTCTATAAATATGAAGTTGAAGAATTATTTTACTTACACTTTCTTCGGGATGATTCTGTTTACTGTCAACACTTGACCCGTTGTGATCCTGAATAAAATAATTTTAATAAAATATTTGAATATCCAATTTTTTATAGAAAATCAATCAATAAAAAAAAGTTTGTTTAGGGTTTTAAATTTGTTTTGGCAGTGCATTTTAAGGTATTTTTTTCACAAAGAAAAACACTATTTTTAACAAAAACTGA